GGCGGCGGGGGCGAAATTCAGCCGGCGTGAAACTTTCTGCCGTTTCTGTTCGCAGCCTTGCTGTGCGTAAGGCTCTATTCCGCCGCCCGGAAAGCAGCTGGAGAAGTTTCACGTTTAGCCCAGCCCGTTGGTAGCCAAAGCGGGAGAGCCCCTGGGAAGCGAGCGCAGCTTTCTCACTTCACAGCTGCGCCTCGTGTGCTTTTATAGCCTTCTACAATAACCGGCTCAGTTCTGTAGCTAAAAGGCGCCTGGTAAAATTTCATAGCAAGAGTAATTGCGCCCTGATGCTAATACTGGTTAGAAAATTATTAAACATAAGAGATTTGGTGGGAAAATAATCAGTATTTTTTTCTGGGGAAGTTTTTGAAAAGTAGTGGTTTTTCTCTTGCTGTAAGAGTGAAGATTGTGTGGGAAGAAGTGAAAGAAGAATGAGGAAAGGGGATGCCTGAGAAGAGGTAGGGGCCAAGTCACCAAAAGTGGAAAAGGAGAAGAAAGTTCAGAGGGGAGAGAATAAAAAGCAAATAGTAAAAGTACATGTAATGATGGAAAAGCTCAGGGTAACAAGCGACCACAAAAGCAGAATCTGTTGGTTGAAATGTCTTTCTCAGTTAATAGGGCTAAAGAGAGGGTTGGTTAAAACGTGCCACTGAGGGAAAGTCACTCAAGAAGGTTGCTGACTTACAGATTCTTCTTTGCAGTTTGAACATCTCAGTACGATTTAGACACCATTTGGCACTTATACCATGGAAAATTCATGAGTATACTGGGCCGTAGTGGTAAAATTCACAGAATAACATCACTGAATATTTTCCTTGCTGTTCAGCCAAAGCTATTAGTAAGTCACGTTAAGAATGGGATTGGCAGTGCATTACTATTAAGTACAAAACGGTACTCAGCAGATTCCTTCCTTTAAGCAAAATAGTAGTAGCCTTGTGGGTCTGGGACAGCAGAGGTACTTTTCAGCCTGGTCGGTGAAAGTGTTGTGCTGTGGGAACATCTTTGTGACGTGGAAATGGTTTTAGGGCCTTTTTCCCCCTACTTAGCTTAAACTTCCTGCTACTTCACATAGAGGTGTTTTTATTACTGGCGCAGGTGTCAGCTTATCTCAGTAGAGCTATCCGTGTATTTTTAAAATCATTTTTAATGACAGACTAAGTTGAAAATGGAGCTAGTATTCCTGTATCATTTTGAAAGTGATACTCCTGGTGCTCTGTATGGTGTATTTGGAGCTCTGCTTTACTTAACTTTTGCGGTGAGCCAAATATTCGTTCCAAATGGTTTTTTTTTTTTTAAAGCAATCCTGCAGTTGTGCCCACATACCCACAAGCTGGTTCAAATATGAGCCCATCATGCTGTGTACCATATATGATGCTTAAAAAAAGTACTGAGTGAAGACTATTGCTAACTGTATTTTATGCTACCGGCTGTGCATTAGTGCATTTAGTCATGTCTATGGACGTGAAGACAGAGTTCTTGACCTAGTGAGCTTGCAAATTAATCGAGGGTTAATCCAATCGGTATGCGTTAAAATTAAAAGCGTTCCCATTGATAGAAATGGGCTTAGAAGAAGATCTCATTTGTCACCTAATTTTACAACCGCTTTGAAAGAGGGTTTGTTGTTGTTGTTGTTCCCTAAATAGAGGCTATGCGCTGAAGAGCAGGAAAATGTACCTCCTGGAAACCTGCAGCTTGTGTAGAAAACAGCATAATGGATAAAGAGCAGTTGCTGTACTTTTCTGGTAGCTTATCTCAGAATGCGACTGCACTTTTAAAAACAAACTTCTTGTGGAAATGGTACTTAATCACACCTATATATGAATGTTTGTGTCTTCATATACAGGCAATGATGCGTTCACCATTCGCCATGACGTACTGAACAAGTGCATACAAGTTAAAAACTCACGGATAGTGATAGCTGACTGTGAGGAGACAAGCGAAGCTTTATGGAAATGGGTATCCCAGAATCGCCTTTTTCACTTGGGGTCCCAGCAGTGCCTGGGACTCGATATATTCACCAAATTGCCGTCTCGCCTGAAAATGGTTGACTGTAACTCGGAGCTTATGCTGTGGTGGCGATGCGCCGATGCTTCCATCCTCGGTGCGTCTCAGTACAAGGTGACCATCAAGGGCACTTTTGTAACTGCAAGCATAAATGCAACAGACCAGTGGAGAAGCAGCAGTTCCTCTGATGACATATGTCGATATCCTTACCACGGTAGGTTTGCACAGGGGCTTGGAGGAAGCACTTTTTTTTTGCTCCGTGTTTTTTGTTATACATATATGCCAATCAGTTATTAAAGTTAACCATATAAAGGAGCTAATCAATATAGCAATAGTATATTTTGTTGCAGAGAGCTATTAATACTCACATGTGAGACTTCACCATTTTTAAGAAAACAAAAAACATATACACAACTGCAGAAGTTTCTTTTAAGTGAGTGGCTTTCTTAGCCCTGGGTACCCCTCCCCGTTCATTAGTGAGGCCCCTTTAAAATATGAAATATCAACCACTCTTTGTCAGAACTGTAACTGTCCTCTTCACAGCGGATAGGAATTTTGCTGTTAACCTAAATGAGAGGATTTGAGGATACTTTCTTCCCTGGTAGGCTGTGCAGTCCAACTCATGGTGTGCTGCTAGCTCGCAGCCTGTTGACCTGTCAGGAACCATCGGTTTTCTTTACTCTGATAATCAGTCCACTTGCCTGGGAGGCCAGTCTCATCTGACGTTTTGGAAGAGGAACTGGCAGAGATGGTGAACGCTTTGTGTCCTATTCGATCACAGAGTTTTCGTTGTATTTGAGTTGTTCAGAGTGGCCAGGCTGAAGAGCCCCGTGGGCTCCCGTTTGAAATTTATTTTCCCTCTCCTGCATGCATTGATTTCCTAGCGCTTGGAAGGAGGAGAGTACAGGAAAATATTTTTCTCTCGCGCATCTTTCAATTCTGGCGTTGTTGCATATTATCTTTAACAACAGGATATGGTGTTTTCAGACCACAAGTGTGACTTGCCTACTTTGAAGTTAACTGCGTTTGTATAAGCAGTAACCCTTATTTGCTCTCCTTTTCTCCTCCAGATGACTTTATCTACTTCTTTGCTTGCTTTTTCCTAGAGATTTATACCAGAGATGGGAACTCCTACGGAAAGCCCTGTGAGTTCCCCTTTCTGTATAATAAGACCTGGCGTCACGACTGCATTCAGGATGAAACGCACGCGGGTGGTAAATGGTGCGCCACGTCTGAAGATTATACTCGTGACGGCAAATGGGGAATCTGCTTACAACCAGGCATGTTGGGTTTCTAACTAGATGTCCTAAAAGAGTCCTGTCACCTCATGTATGTGTAGCTCCACCTTGGTGTCGCAGCTCACTGTTAAGCTGTGTAGAGCAGATTCCTTTTCTACTGCAGTGTTGACAGAGCAGTCAGTGCACGTTTACTTTGCAGTATTGTGTGATTTCAATATAAATATACATAGACGTTCTCTGTTAAAATTTTTGTTGTGAAACTTTATGCCATTTCAGTATAGCTACAGTTAAAAGTATCATGTGTGCTTGCTTTAAGCAGAAGATGGTTGTCATGATATCTGGGAACACGAGCCGGAGTCTGAAAGTTGCTACCAGTTTAATACGCAGTCTGCTCTTTCTTGGAAAGAAGCTTATATTTCATGTCAAAGACAAGGGGGAGATTTGCTTAGCATCCAAGATGCAACTGAATTAAGTTACATACAAGGTAGGTATAACTATTGACCTAAGAATATAATTATTGGCAAATAGCATAAAGTGAAGATGGCATTTTAGTTTCAGTCTTAAAATTCTGGGTTGAAACTTGTTGATACTTAAAACCCTGTGATGCTTTAATTTGCAGAGCAAAAAAGAGTTGCTAAACTCATTTTACAGACTTTTTATTTAGCTGTGTGCTTTCATTATAGTGACTGGCTCTTGTTCATATCCATAAGGAGTAGATTTTTTTTTTTTTTTGGCAGTGTGTTAGCAGCTTGCTCTGTTGTTTTGGGAATATAGGATAAAATGATAAATATATGAAGGCATTGGAGGGGAGACTTGGGTGGGTGGATGTAGGGAATTTCTCCTCCGTTCAAGAAAAGTTGCATATATGATTATAGTATCATCAAGCAATTTTTTTCCTTTGAATGCCCTTTCAGATGACATTTTTAAATTAAAGGTGACCGATAAAGGATGAGCATTTTATACTAACTATTTTCTTTAAAAAAAAATCTTCAGCTAAGGATGACATTGCTGAGATCTTTTGGATTGGCTTAAATCAACTGGACGTTTCTGGAGGTTGGCAGTGGTCAGATCACAGACCCTTGAATTTTCTCAACTGGCATCCAGGTAACGATGTTTCCGGTGAGGATGATGATATTCAGAACGTGAGCTAGTATATTACTTTGGGTGTGGTTTTTTTTTTTCTCCCCCCCCCCCCCCCCCATTCGACTTCATCAAAACAAACGCTGTTGTTCCGTTTCTGTTAAAAGTTGAGAAACATCCTTTCTTCCTAAGCAACGAATCTTGCTATCTGCACTGAATCTATGTTTATGGAAGATTGGGTTAATCTCTAATACAGACTTAACTTAAATAGGATCTTTGAGATCCGTTTTAGCAGCAAGTCAGCTGTAGATTCCATTGCTGAATTTCTCTTCCCGCTGACAGAATGGCATTGATTTCCTTCGAATAGTACAACTCTTCAGGTATGTGCAAGAGCTGACGTTCTGTAGAAGGCCTGACGTACGTTTTTAAACTTAAAGGTTGCCTAAATTTCTTTTTAGGTGAAAATGAAAGAAGTACAAAACCTTTGGAAACCCCTTATTTATGTGTGAGAATCCTTGAGGAATAATAATGAGGAATACTGAACCTAATATTGCTTTGCTGTTCAAGCTAAATTTGACCTTTTTTAAGTTAGCCTGTGACATGAAATCTGTGGAATAAGAAGTGATTTGCCTTACTTTTCGAAAGATTTACTGAGAGATTTCTATAAGGCTTTTCCAAAGACAGTTTTTCTTTTGAAAAAGTTTAAGGACCTTTCTGCAACTCGCACTCTCGGATGCACCTTTTTCTGCAACTCTTATGACACTGTGTGACTGTATGCAGAGCTAGAGGCTAGACTATGCTGAGTTTCAGTGGCATAATTCCGTCTGCAGTCTTGGCAGGCGTGCTAACGTTACCTGGAGGTTACAACTTAAATATGCAGGTGTGAAAGTGTAGTAAACTGTGTTCTGAAGTCAGTGGTGTTATTTAAGTTACTGGACTAATCATGTCATCGGAAAGCTAAAACTGCAGTTTCAAAGCAATAGGGACTGGACACTGGGAGGAGAATTCTGCAAGTTTTGTGGTGTTTGAATTTGCTCATTTGCACTCTTTGGAACAATGATGAAAGGTAAACGGTGAATACTACTAAGTGATTTTTCTGCAGTTACAGTTTGCTTTGAGTTGAGCTTTTCTGTTCCATATTGGTAGAGGCTTTATTTATTTATTTAAATCTGTATTTTCCAAGTTGAGACTTCTGTGGTTATAAAAGCAGATCATTGTAACTGAAATACCATTAGGAAGGCACCAAAAAAGTAAGAATTAAGTTTTATCTCGGAGGAAGTCAGTGTGTAAAGTGTGTTTTATCTGTCAGTTGTGTTGTAACTGATTTCATAGGGTCACTGAACGTTGCAAGGCGGAGGGGACCTCCGGCAGTCCCCAGTCAAACTCCTGGCTCGTGTAAATCAGGTTGCTCAGGGCTTTGTCCAGTCGAGTTTTAATATCTCCTAGGATGGAGATCTCGCAGCCTCTCTAGGCAACCTGACTGAGTGTTTGACTACCCTTTTTTTGTTTTAAAAACAGAGCAAAACAAAACAATTTTTTACTAGTATCTAGTAGGAATTGTCCTTGCTGCAAGTTGTGCCCGTTACCTCTTGTCCTTTCACTGTGCGCCTCTGGAAGGGGTCTGGTCCGTCTCCTCTGCGCTCTCCCGTGCAGAAGTGAATGTCAGCAGTAAGAGATTCCCTGAGCCTTCCCTGGATGGAGGGCAGCGTGGGGGGAGCTAAGGTGCGCTGTACAGGGCGCAGCGTGGATTTGCATTAGGGCTCACAGAAGGAGAAAAAGCTGAAAGGTACCATTGGAAGGGGGCTGCCGAGGGAAGCTGGGGGCTCCAAAAAGGGTCCTCCTTTGTGATGTTATTAGTTTGGGGGCCTTGTCTAAGGCTTCCCTTAAGGTAAGGGTTGAGAGGGAGTGCTGAGTGGCAGTTGGAGGGAGGCTGGACCGGGGCTGCCAAAGGAAACTGAGGGCTGCAAAAAGGGTTCTCCCCTGAGATGTGCCTGGTCTGGGAAAGTGCTCAGCCAAGGGTTTGTTGTGTTGTAAATAGAACATTCCTCCTGGTTGTGTGATTAAACATTGGACTAGAAGGCCGGATTCTTTGATTCTGTAGCTTTCTCTCTTCCAAAACTTTCTGTGGGACCTATGGTAGGACAGGGGCCTTCATTCGAAGCGTGTTGCGCTCTTCAAATAGGAGATGCTGTAATCTGCTGTAATATGTAAAGTATTCCTTTATTATTGTTCCTTTATATATCCTGTATTGGGGGGGGGAAAAAAAAGCCACAGTCTAATGATTGCTTAGATGGTTTACTGTTAGATAACTTGTGCTCTTCTGTTTTTATTTCTTTCTGTCCATAGATATGCAGAATCTGTCCCCTTTGGATGGGACTAGCTGCGTGGTGATGAATGCTACCTCAGGTCAGTGGCAGAGTTACCACTGTGGGACTCCGCTTCCCTATATTTGCGAGAAGTCATTCCAGGAAGTTTCAAAATTGCCAGGTAGGACAGCTTGTATATGTTTGGTTTTTTGGTATGTTAATATGAGAGAAATGTTAATTTATGAGGTCTGTTTTCCCCTCCCCAAGACCTCTTAGGCAATTTTGCCAAAACGCTTTCACCGTGCCTTTGCGTCTTTAAGCAGATCAGAAGCAAACACTCTCTGCTGTGACAAGCTCAGGCATCGCAAATGCCCTTCCTTTTTCTCGGCTTTGTCATTCACGCACTAAAAGCACTTCCCATTTGTCCTCTTTAATATTTTCGCCCGTGGCTTGTACCTTCTTTCATGTTCTCTGAAAGTCTGCCGCTGGCTGTTGCACCTCACGCCTTCGCGTCACTGCTTCTAGCCTGTTTCTCTCACGGTTTGCCTGTATTGACGTAAAATGGCACCTACCTGGGGCTTAGATCAAACTCTGAACTCAAATGCGAGGTGTTAAATGACCTTACTGTCCTTTGAAACCAAGCCCAGCACTGGGAGCCAAGAGTGCCTGGGTTGGTAGCTGGCCCAGTGTGTAATGTTTACTTGGCCCATTAATTTTATCTTATAATAGCAGTTGGTAACAGAATAAGAAAAACAGAACAGTTTAAGGCACTGTTCTGTCCTCCTTCCACACACACACACACACACACACACACACACACACACACGCCTGCGCACGCACATGCTGTCCGGCTGTGACATCTACTTGCATCCGTGCTCTTAGTTGTTCGCTGCACCTGGATGTCTGACCCTTCCCGTGTCCGCTGCCTGCTCTCCCGTGTGTGCTTTGGCCTTGCGCAGTTCCCAGGGCTCACCGTCCTGTGGGAAATCCTCACTGGAGGGTGCAAGTGTCCTTGGGTGTGGAGGAGAGCTAGGGAGGGCATAAGAGGGATGAAGCAGGATCCTGGAGGTGGAAAGCATCACGGAGTGTCCCTGGCTGTGGCGTGTTTTCTCCAGCTCCCTTGGGGAGGCGTGTGCCTTTACTGGGGGGAAAAAAACTGGATAAGCTGTTCAAATTTAGCTAAACTGCTTCAAACTTGTAAATGATTGCTAGAAAACTAGCTGTTAGATCCCCATCCTTATCTGTTCTCTGGTTCCTCAGTTGGATCTGTGGAGATGTTACTAGTGCTTATTCTTGTGATTTGTGTACTTTATACCATGTTTTGAACCAGAAAGGCTTTTAACGTGTACGTTACTCAGCATACATGTAAAAAAAAAAA